TGGCTGAAATACGATACAAAGACTCTACGGGATTCTCTTTCAAAAGAGGTCTCCTTCTTCCTTCTTTCTGTTTCTGTTTACATTTTCCATGATTATTGCTTTACTTTCTTACCAAAGACATGTTTTTTTTTTCCTGCTAATCAAATGTTTTCTACAAATTTGCATCAAATCAAGCGTCTTTTCTTCCCAGTGAAAAGAATGAGCTTTCTTTGACATGAACTTAGTGCAAAGTTTTCATTAAAGCTCTTCAAAAATCTTTGATTTTGTTTTTACTCTTTATTTCTAGCAAGTATGTAACGTACGATTTGATAATGCACTTGGATAAACCTTTAATTCTGTTTACTTGTTCTTTCTGGCTACTAAGTATGTACGATTTCACTAAATCTCTTCAATAATCTCTGATTTTGTTTACTAGCAACTAAGTATGTACGATTTGATTTCGTTTTTGTTCTTTGACATGATCTTAGTGCAAAGATTTGATCTTTGATTATGTTTACTTGTTCTTTCTGGCAACTACTAAGTATTTACTCGTTCTCTTCACTGTGTGGTGAAAACAGAGGGCATGTACGCGACGAACAATCAATTCCAGAAATCCGGTCCCAAGGGTTTCATCCATGTCACGACCGTGTCCCGATGATTTTTAATTTTTGCGCAGAAATGTTTTTGGATCGAACATGAAAAATGAAAGAGAAGAAAAATTTATTTAAAAGGGATTTAAAAGGATTGGGCCTATATAACGTTTCCTCTTCAATACTAAACGAGCCCATCAAGCCCAATTAACCCATCGAAAACCCTAATCATCCACTATATAAAGGGAGAGGATGTGAGACTTAAGACCAAGAATGCAGCTGCGGTGAAACCCTGGCCGTTTTACTTTTCACCTCGTAAACCCTAGCTGCCCTAGGAACTGAACTGCACTGCCGGGTTGAGAGACGATTTTCTGATGAACCGTCACGAACTGTGCGACGATATACATATATGTGGAAAGGTTCGAGTCTCAGCTTTCCATAAAATCCAATAACGTCTTGATCCAAGTTCTATGGTGAAAGTTATGGCCTGTTCTTTCCAACTGTCGCGATATGTCTTATTCTCGAACAACCGTAAATTTGACCAGTTTCGGTGGGGAATAGAAACCAAGGATCAAAACTGTTCGGATCGATATTAATATTGGTAAATACTTTCCTGACTCTCTTATTTACCCAAGGCAGAAAGAGGTTTGTCATTTGAAGTTGTGATATGAAAGTTATGGATGTTTTCTCGTAGTTATTATTTGCTGTGAAAGTTTCCAACCAGTCAGAGGAGAATTTACGCTGCAATTTCGTCAATGATCGGATGAAGCTTATATTTGGTAAGCAGATTCTTAACTCTCTGATCTAGTAATAT